AATAAGGATGCTCTCTCAGTCATTGAAGTCAAAGGACAAGTTGGCCTTAAAAAGGAAGTCACCCTTCTAAATGGCATTGCTCTTGTTATTGGTGTGAGTGGTGTAATTATCGGCTCCGGGACTATCATTTCGCCCAAAGGCGGCCTCGCATGGACTGAATCAGTCGGGATGAGTTTGGTCGTTTGGGTAGGATGTGGTATTCTCGCTCTTCTTGGCTCCCTCTGCTACTGTAAAATGGGCACCATGCTCCCTAAATCTGGTGTTGAGTATTCTTATCTCTACGAAGCCTTTGGTCCTCTACCAGCATTTCTTTATAGTTGGACACTCGCTTTGATCGTTCGCCCATCTTCACTCAGTGCCATGGCTCTAACCTTCGCAAGTTATGTAAGTGAACCCTTCTTCCCAGACTGCGAAATCAGTGCGATTCCTGTCAAAAAGATCTTAGCAGCAACATGTTTGGGTGAGTACCATGTCCTTAAGGTTACCTTGAGAAGAAGAAGTACACTAATCTTCAGCGAATTGGAATAAAACGTAACCTTTGCTTTGTGGTGTGAGGTTTTTATTGTGTGAGTACGATGTGCATACATAAAAAATCATCTCTGGTCGAAATCTTCTGGGGTTTATTTAACAATTGTTCATACGTCCGCTGCGTTCAACGAGATATTAAGCACGCGGGAAGTTTTGAGAGCGCACGAAAGATGCGTAGGAGTTGCTTGAGGCGTCGGTAGCCCTCAACTCGGGCTGATGATAACCAATCACATTCAAGAATTTGTCAGTTTTGATTATTAAAGAAGTTGCTGTATTAATTAAAGAGCTGAATGAAATTTAGGGCACAAACTGCAATATTCCTTGCTGTTTATAGACGGATTTTATCCAGTTATTTGGAAAGAATTAATTTGCTAGATGAAGTTGCTCTGATTTGTTTTTCTCTTGGATTTCATTTGATATTGTTATCAAACCCTTTTCTCCTTTGAAATTGAGTATACCGGTAAATTTAATAAAAAAATCATTAACAGAGCTGCAAGCATCATTTCAAGCTGAAATAGTGCCTGTGCAAGCATATAGAAAAATTTAATTGCGTCAAAATAATTTTTAAGAGGTATGTGTACTGCCTGAGAGGCCAACTTGTTGTAGCGTTGTCAGTGTTCTTAAATTAACATCAGAATTTACAAAGAAAAATCTCTAATTTTCCTCGTTATCTTTGTTATAGCTCTGACCATGTTTATAAACTGTGCGAGTGTAAAATGGGCCATGCGCATTCAGAACATCTTTACTTTTGGACAGCTTATTGTTCTTTCAATTCTGATTGTGATTGGCCTCATTGACGTTGGATCAGGTAAGGATAATTTTTTAACCTACCCTTACACCCTAACATCAGTATGCATATTCTCCGTACTGTTCTTTACACAATTTGTAAGGTGCTGACAAGGAGAATTTGTTGAACAATCAAGAGCTTCTTTAGTTGGTGATCAACTCCTTGATTCTCAAGACCTTAATGTTTTTTTTAATGTCAAGCACCTGCAATTTGCATATGTTAAAAACACAGCAAAGAAAGTAACAAAAGCCTCCGAGTAATTGATCTTTATTAGCTTGAGTTAAATAATCTACCAATGAAACATTTTCAATTTCGATCCATGAATATATTTAGTAGAGTATTTAAGAAACAGCTGACAAGATAAACATCATGATCGTACTACATTACTGTAATCACAAGCGATAAGAAATTCGAAATGGCAACGAAACTTACCACTGCGAAACGTCAGAGCTACACAGTTTCTGACAAGCTGAGAATTGTCCAGTTTGCTGAACAAAATAGAAACCGGGCTGCCGAACGTGAATTTGGTGTCAGAAAGCAACGTCAGGCTGTGCGAAGAAGTAAAGAGGATTTAGAGAAGGTGCCTTGAAACGTACAAAAGGAAAACCTTCCTGAAGATCAGCGATAAGCACAGAGTTGTCGTGTCAGCCCAGGAAAAAGGCTGGATGAATTCCGACCAAATGAAAATCTAGATTCAAAAAGCTTGGTGTTCGCGAACAGGAGGCCTGGGGAGAAGACGTAGCCTGCTTGTTTATAGCCCGTTCGAGGCCCGCTTAACCGACACGGTAAAAGCATCCCTCAGACGAGGAAACGCCGACCTTGCCGTAATTCCTGGAGGGTTAACCTCACTTCTGCAGCCTTTGGATGTCTCTTTAAACAAGCCCCTCAAGGTTCGAGTCAAAAAACAATGGAGGGATTGGATGGCTGAATTTACGCCAACTGGTCATAAAAGGAACTTGAATTGAAATGTTTTTCCTGTTTCAGGACCTTCAGGCATGCAAATGCCAATATGTGTAGGGAAGGTAAACTTGATCTAGGGGTAAAAAGGCCTGAAGTTGAATTTAAGTCAATTTTCTAAAGAAGTGGGAGAGAAAAAAAATTCTATTTACTTATATTAGACCTAGATATCAGACTTTTATTTTTGCACTATGTGTATGTGCACATACTAGGAACTGATGATATGATTTCTCCATAGGTAATCTTCACAACTCTGAGGGATCATTTGATGGAACTACTTCAAACTTGGCAAATATGGGATTGGCTTTCTATTCAGGCCTCTGGGCTTATAATGGATGGTATGCTTTTGTGTTGAACTTTCTTTGTGTGAGCAATTTTACCATGGAAATATTCTGACTGTCACGTTTTTGTCCTAGTTATACATATAACTGAAAGGAACTTGTTTGTTTATTTATTTCAATTTCCTATATTCTGCAGGAATAGCTTAAATTTTGTCACTGAAGAGATGAAGAACCCAGCTAGGTAAAGAAAGCCATTCTTTATTTGCAGCTAATCTTGCTTAAGTTATATGTATGGTATCAAGGTGACATGCCCAGGTTTTCTTGGCATGAAGTTTTTAGGAGTACCCTTTCTAGGGATGTTTGTCCCTCTGAGGGTATCCCCCTGCATTTGATCAGGTTCCTCAGATTGTTTACCAGTACCCATCTTTACTCCTGGGTGGAGAGAAGCACTCTGCATGTCAAGAGTCTTGGTCACGAACACAATACAGTGACTTAGTCAGGTCTTGAACCCACACCTCTTGACTCAGAGTTCAGCACACTAACCTTTAAGCCATTGCATTTCCTGTTATATTTATTGAAACAGAATATAGTTGAACCTGTATTAGGCAGCACCTTACTAAGTGGTTACCCTGTATTATGTGGTCAGTTTTCAAAGTCCAAAATTTTTCCCCCTTAGTGCCTGTAATTTTCACCTCTAGCGAGTGGTCACCTGTATCAAGGGGTCATGATCACCCTTTACTGAGTCCCAACAGCCTGTTGGAACAGGCTGTTGGGACTGTTGGAACAGTTACTTAAATGGCATTATTCAGTGGATTTGTTTTGTACAAATGGAAAGGAACACATGTAATATTTTTTTTGTGAGTTTGATTACTAAATGTTCTATCACATGGTAAGCTTTACTCTAAAAGGGCATGAATGATTGAATTTTCTAAAAGGATGGTATAAAAGGAATTGTTAGTGAAATGGTCTGAAGTGGTTTCTGTCATCAACAATATTATTTTTGTGATCTTCAGGGATTTACCAAGGGCTCTCATGATTGGAATCCCTCTGGTAACCATTGCTTACTTGTTGACTAACATTGCCTGCATTGATGTAGTTGGAGGACACTGCATTTTAAGCTTTGGAGCTGTGGCTATGGTGAGTATTACACACAATAATTCCCAAAAGACTCATTGTTAATTTTGAAAAAATGCAAGTAGCAGTTTTGTTGGGTTAGAGGTAAAACAAGGCAGTTTTCATAGAAAGAAAAAAGTTGTTTGTTTCATAAAAATTCACTCATTCATATCTTTCTTGGTTGATCAACAAGAGTTGAATTTTTGCTTTTTTTCATCTTTCTAAAATTTCTTCAAAGTAAACTACAATATAATGTAACCCACTGGTGACTGTTTTTGAGTCAACATCCAGTTTTTACTAGACTTGGGCTGGTGGACAACTGCAAAGGTTGAGGTTTGCAGGACATAAGGCCTTGAAGGAAGGATTGTAGCCATTTACAGAATGTTAGATTGGGTTAAATAACATGTTGGTTCAATGTGCAGGTTGTTGGAGAGGAGAAGATGGGACCTGTTGCTTGGTTGATTCCAATCTTTGTTGCATGCTCCACCTTTGGTTGTGTGAATGGACTGGCTTTCAGTGGTGCAAGGTAAGTCAAGTGTTCATTTTTTTCAGTTTTTACAAGTGTATGCTACAAAAAAAAAACCACTCAAGCAAACGGTTGCACTTCAATGCAGCCTGATGCTTTGTGCAAGAAATTGAATAAAAAATGTAAATCTTAGTAAAATTCTCAAGTGACTTTCCTTCAGCTCTGTTTTCTAAGGTATGCAATATTTTATCCTCTTGATTCAAAGTTGCTAATCTTTGCCGCTGGCTCATACAGTAATGCACCAACTGTTCAAAGCTTCAACTCCCCCCTCCCCACCTCCCTCTCCAGGCAACCTAAGGGCTTTTGACTGTCATTGGTGTGCAGGGGGTGGGGAATTTGAACCTTGCCTGGCTGGGGTGGGAAATTTGAATCAGAAGTGTCAACTCTATCCATGGAATACAAGTGTGAAATGTTTAAATATGGAGGTGTTAAAGGTAAAGAGTTTACTTTTGTTAGTGATTGGCTCAGAAAAAAAATATCTATGAGGTCTGTGTCTGTAAGCTTGGTCAATTGAAGAAAGTCATGGCTGCTGATTTTTCCTTTTCTAAACAAATTGGGTGAGGCATTTGAACACAGTTGGGAGGGGGGGGGATTTGAACAAACTAATCTTCAAAAGTTCAAATGCTGGGGAGGTTGCAGGCAGGGGGAGAAGGGCAGTAGATTAAGCTTCAAATTGATCAAGGCAAAATTTGAACCTTACAATTAATTAATTGCCATTATAAAGTACTGCAGTTTGCTTACTGACTGTCTGCTGTGTCTATAGGTTGGTGTTTGTGTCAGCTCGCAATGGTCACATGCCCAAAGTACTTGCCATGGTTCACAAGACTTGTCATACTCCTATGGCTTCCATCATTTTCTTGGTAAGTTTTGTATACATGTGCATGTGCCCTAGAATTGAGAGGTGTTGCCCCAGCAAATTGAGCAACTTAACTATCTACTTGCAGTCTTTCTACAGGTGTTCGAACCAATCAGGTTTGATACTCATTCACTCTCCTAAACTCTAATGTCCTTGGCTGGAAAAAGCACCTCCTTGTATGAAGCTAATAGTATCACCCCAAAATATGTTACAACCTCCATTTAATTTGTGCTTCTTTGATTGAATTGTAGCATGTCATTGCCATGATCATGTTGGTTCCTGACTCCAGTGAATTCAGCACACTCATCAACTACTTCAGCTTTTCTGCATGGCTCTCATACTTTGCAGTCATCACAGCTCTGATGTACCTTAGGTGGAAACGTCCTCATGCTAAGAGACTATGCAAGGTACTTTGATTAGTTTAGTTGGTGTTGATTTTTGAAATGGTAGCCGTATTTTACTTAGTTCTGACAGATTTGAATGATCTCGCAAAGCATGGACTTAAAAGTATTACATGTACCTTTTAATCATAAAAAGTTTTCATTCAGAATCTCTGGTCATCTTCTCTTTCATTAGCCTTCTTTGGTCCTAACATGTATTACTTTACTCGGTCTAAATCCTTGCAAATCGTTGTTTCAAGGTTTCATTCCAGTTAACACTTTACACCCTAACATTAATATGCATGTTCTCTGTGCTGTTCTCTATACATTTCCTAAGGTTCTGATAAGGAGAATCACTCAAGAGCTTCTTTAGCTTGTGATTATTTCCTTGATTCCAATGAGATTAATGTTTGATTCAGGGGTGATATTGTAAGGAGAAATTAAATGTTTGTGTCTTAAGGGGCTGGAGGATAAAGGACAATTTTCAGTGTCTACTAAACAGTAAAAAATAGTAATATTTAGCTGCATTCAACAGAGGTGATTTTTTTTTTTTTACAAAGGAACCCTGTATTGGCCAAACCTGCCTTAGCCCTTTATCTGCCAAATCTTACACTTAGCTCCAGTATGCCTGTTCGTTGATGTTGATGAGGAAAATTATAATCCTGGTTTATGTAATACTGACTAGTACCATTATTCTGTTTGGAACAGGTCTGGCTGATTGTGCTTATTGGTGCCGACCTGGCAGCCCTATATCTGCTGATCACTCTATTCTGGCAGGAACCTAAGGGGTCTGCCATGGCCCTGATCTTCATCGCTCTTGGCATACCTGTCTATTTTTTCCATTCAAAGGATGCATGTGAGGGATGTTGTGGTTAGTGTTAAGAGTTCAAACTGTATTTGGAGATATAAGTCAACTGGTGAAATTGCAATTTTCATTGCATTAAATGTTGCTGGTTATATACATACATACATATACATATACATATACTTTTTGGAGAGGCAGGTCTGTTTGTGGCAACCCGTCGGCTGGTGTGGACCTGCCAGAAAATTCCTATAAAATGCTTAAATAAAAATTATTTGAAATTTACATTCTCAAAGCAATTGAAAACAAGGATGTCCTAAAGCTATTAAAAATATGATAAGATAGGATCTTTTGATCAAATTCATTACAGCAATGACCTGCCATAAGGGTTTGAAGGGTTAAATCTTAGTTAATCTTGTGAACTTACCTCTTATCTTGGTTATAAGCATTGAGGTATAAGCACTGAATAAAAATAGTTTCTTTACACTGAATTTCAATTTGTCATATCAATTTTTTTTGTCCAGCTGCAAGTGTGAGCCCGCTTCACTCTGAGTTAGCCAGTTATTTTGAGGAGGAACTGAAACGTGTTCAAGATGAATTATTGTGTATGGAAGGAGTCCGTTCAAAATTAGAGTGTGAAATGCTGACTGCTGTGTTGTCAGGTTAGTGATCTTATGAGAACTGAGCCAATTGTTTAGGCAAGAAAGTGAAATGCCTTGGAATTTCAGATAACACAATTAATATGTTACTTCTACACGGTGAGTTAAATTTTAGAATGTGCATTCCTTCATCAAAAAACCACTCTCAAGATCTCATTTAGTAATTCTACATGTACTCACTTTTTGCTATTCATTTCTTATGATATTAGCTCATAGAATTTGGTATTGGATCAACTGATAATCAAAAAGTTGATATTTTTCTTTATTCTTGTCACTTGTCTGCTTGATATTGCATTGATATTTTAAGGAGAAATTCTATCTAGGTCACTCATGAGGGTTAAAGGGATAAAGACGTTTATTAACCAGTAGTCCCTTAACTAGAGATACTGAAAGTTTTGCAGGTATAAGTCCTATTTTACACAGCTTGTAAAATGTATTTGTCATCTTTTTCTAGCTCTAGAGCATGAAAGAGAGCTGGAAGGCTTAAGGCAAGATTGGTGTAGATCAGATAACCTCTATTCCAAAGCCATGAAAAGAAAAGAAGACCTTCTGGCTTTGTATGTAAATTATACTTCTTTCAGAATATAATAAACAAGTCAATCATGAGCTAGTATGTGATCTTGAAAGATCCAATTTCACTCTGCACAGGTTCCTGTATGTATTCACTTACTGTTCTTGATTATAATATAAGATGAATGCCTTTTCCTCTATTGATTAAATGTTCCTTCTGGGTACATTGCCATTTAATGTAAGTAATCTGTTTTTTTTTAAATTGATATGGTTGTGTTAAGCTTGATGCAGATTTGCTCTTATTATTTTCTATTTTTCTTTCACTAATGTAGAGGCAAAGGAGAAAACATTGACAGCTGTCTTAACTTACTGTGTTCAGATCTGAGATGCCTATCAGCAGTGGAAGGTAACTATTCACAATTGTTTCTTTTCATCTCCACTGTTTAGTGTTAGTGGGACTGCTTTAGTGTGCCTTGATTCCCAAGGAGGAGGGACAGGGGGTATTTCTTGGTTCAATTTTTGCTGGTAAGTGTCGCTGGTCTCTCTCTCCAGTCTATTCTGTGGGCAGTTATGGACCTCATCTTAGTCACTTTTGGTGATATGGAACTTATTTTTAAACCTGAACTTTCTCATTTTTGAATCCCCACTTACCAGGGGGAGAATTTATTTCCCCTTAAATAGTGAAAGTGTACAAACTCATTTTAGTATCTCTATTGAAAATGCAACCCCATTATTAATAGTGAATCCAGTCACCAAAATGCAACTTCATCCAGCAGCACATTCCCTATCAGTTTATTCCTAGGAAGTAACCCCTCCCTCCCTTGAGCCATTATGTACATAAAGTGGAAATTTTTTGCATGTTGATTTTAGAATGGAGGAAAACAGATGAGCACAGAGTTCAAGAAAACAGAGTTCGTCGACTCATTGCTGCAATTCGCGAGCAGAGCCTTCATGCGTAAAAAATGGTAAGAAACAGTAATTCTAACTCAGTTGTAGTACTGTTTTGTGTCTCTAATACTCCCTGTGATACCACTCATTAACACCCACCCTTTAATTTTTTGCGTGGCTTTACTGGCTTCTTGACATCACATGCTACAAAATCACCAGACAGTTGTCACGTAATAACCCCATTTATGTCGATATTTGTACTCTGATTATTTCCAACAAAAAGAAGCAAAACCATACAGCTTAAGAGTTTCACTTTTTCATCTTTATTATTTGGCATGGAAGAAGAAACGAAGTTGTTTTTGTAGAGTCCAGTGGCAGTGAAATCATAAAACTAATCTCAAAGGCTGCTCTGGAAATATAAAAAGTCAAAATTTTGCTGTCAGTGCGTGATAGAAATAAACCCCCTTCTGGCTTGTTGCTATGTGGGCTAATAAGGTCTGCAGCTGAGAGATTGTCATCAAAATTTCACATTTCCCCCCGAAGCTTCACTCCTCGGCTGATTATACACACAATATCTCAGCCGTGGACATTATCAGCCAACATACCAGCTGTCTGAAGAGGTTTATTTACCTAATATTCTATCTTTGGTGAAATTCGAGCCACATAGCCGATTTAGAGTTCTCTAATTTTACAAATTTATCAGTGTTTTTGTTGACGGCAATTCATTACTAAAACATACTTTATATAATTTTTTCATTTGAATTGGTGATGTTCTTATGTAGGTTTATTTTCGTTTTTTACTCTTCAGACTGACTCAAAATTCATCTACTCTTTTTGCTCCTTTCTTTACTTTCTGGAAAAAGTTCATAGACCCAACGTTTCGACACTGCTGTCTAGTACCTTCA